CCTCTTTCTCCCAGGCCCTGGACCAGCCCCAACACATGTGCTGTCTGTCACAGCCCGGCCGGCCGAGGCTATTTTAGCTCGTGTCCCAAGCGGAGCAGCATCGCTGGAGAGAGGCGGAGGAGGCAGGAGGCTCCACCACAGGCCAGCCAGTGCTCCCCCTCAAGATGGTCCCCCTCTTCTGGCTCCCCACCTGCCTCCTGGCCACCCTCGCAGCTCAGGTAAGCCCGGGCGAGGCAGGGCTGGGCTGGGCTGGGGGCTCCCTCCCTGCCAGCGGTTCATCACGCGCGGCTCTTCTCGGCACCTCGCAGCCCTGCTCTGTTCCCAGGAGACCCATGCCATGCCAGGTGGGCTTCCAGGCCCCTCTTTGCTTTCCCAGGTCTCAGAAGGGATCCAGGCACGATCTGTGGCTGGAGGTGGTACAAAGGGCTGACCGGGCAGGCGGAGGATCCCCGGTGCTTCTCCCTCCGTTAGCACCCAGGTCCGTCTGAAGAGCCGTTGGAGGAGAGCACCTCTGAGCCCCGGCTTGAGCGATTCCTTCCCCTTTGGGAAGGACCCTCAGGAGCTCCCTGCTCTGGTCACGAGACGCTGCTGCAGGATTTGCGGGGTGGGCTGCCTTGGGGCCCCTCCAGCCTTAAACAGTTGGGGACGAAGCCTTGGCGTCTTCGTGAGCTCTTGGTACTGATCTGTGCGGGTGAAATGGCAGCGCTTGCAGGAGGGCCGGGCTTGGCGAATGGCCCTTGCCACCCTCTGGATCCTGTCCTGCCCAGAGGAAGATCATTCTGTCTTTGCTGTGATTAAATGGCTATTTCTCGCAAAGAGGCACTAACATCTTTGCGCTGGGCCAGGCTGGCTGGTCTTGGAAGAGGCCTGGGCACCAGTTCACCAAGTATCACCCGTGTCAAAGGCTTTACATTAAAGTTGCTTTGAAGTTTTTCCTGTAAGTCTGGAAAGTGTGCTGGTGCCAGCGGGCTCTGGGTCGCTCCAGCAGCCAGGAAAAGTGGGGAAGCCGTGCCAGGAAGCCTCCTTAGTCCTGAAGTTCTGCTCTTTCAAAGACCCCCCCCCCAGGTCTCTGCAAGGGAAAAGGGAGAGACCCCTGAGCATAAACTCCTGCCTTTGACTTCCTGCGGAGGGGGTCTGCTTTGGAGGCCCCCCCCTGCCAATTCTCAGTTGGGAGGTAAGTAGAGAAATAAAGCAGAGGCTCCCTCCACGGTTCTGTATATCCATAGAGTGGAATCTCAGCCTGTCCGGTTTTTCGGGGGGGGTGACCGTGCTGTTCGGGGTCCTCCCGTGAGGTGGGAGACGGGGCAAAATGGCTGGCATTCTTTCTAGCTAGGCTGTCCTTGGATGTTTGCCCCTGCACCGGGGAGGGAAGGAGGTACCGCCATCAACTCTGCCAGCTGCCCCAAGACAACACGAAGTGTGGAATGTCGGCGGCGCTGGGCAGCTGGGAGCGCAAGAATGCGAACCCCTCGGCCTAGGAAGGGGTGGGGTCTGGGCTTCCATGTGGCTCGCATTAGATCTGCTTTCCTGCAAAGCTTAATGGTGGGGGGGCTGCAGGGAGGAGGAGCAAGGCTGAGGGATGGCAGAGTTCATCTCGCTACCCCAGGCTCAAACTGGGCTAAGCTTGAGACCCGGATTTCGTCCTGGCTCCTATAACCCAGAGGTGAGGGACCCTTCCAAGCTAACCCCCTTCCGTACAAGTTGGCAAGACCCGCATCCCTAAATCAGTGTTCTTCCCCTGGGGTCCCATTCAGTCTGCTGACCTGCGCTTCCCATTGTCCAGCATGTTGGAAGGGCACCCGGTTGGGGACGCCCACCTGCCTTTTTCCTGAAGGGGCCTCCTGACTTGCCTGAGCAGGACACAAGAGCGAGGTCTTCTTGCACTGTGTCTGTGTGCGGGGGAAGGCAGCATTCTTCCATGCGCAGCTTGTGCATTTGTTCAGCCACCTGCTGGGGCGGAATTCGGAGCTGGGCTCGGAGTTGCATTTCCAGGCAGGGGGAAGGGAGGGTCCCTTTTAGTAGTCACAGGGTGGGAGGTGGGAGGTCAAGTTCGGGCAGCTTGTCAAGCATCCCCTTTGAGCAGAGGAACAGGCCCCCAAGAGAGTGCCAAGCGCCCACGCCAAGGGCAGAGGCCAGGCCGATCCGCACCGTTGCATTGTCTGTGCCCTGGGGTGGTTTGGATCCGACTCGCATCGGAAGGGCCGTTTGCACCAGCGCAGGCCCCTCCGTTTGCCCAACTCTCTTAAAGTAAGAAAGAAAGTGAACTCTCTTTACCTTTGGTAAACATCTGCACGAGCCCTTCAGCTGGATCTCCAAGGTCAGCAGCAGAAAGAGGGTCTTCACAGTTGCAGCCTTTGCCCCATGAAATTCCATACCTGGGATGAAATCAGATTTTCCCCACGTCTGACTGTTTCTTGAAAGTCTCATGATCTCCCTGGATTTTGTGGAGTGCTTTATAGTTCATGCTTCTGTTGGGCGTCCAATATTATATGCTATTGTAATGGATTTTGATTAAAATTTGCTTGTATGTCATGGTTTCACAAACATATTTGCATAGATTTTATGCAGGAAGCTGCCCTGGGGTGACTAGGATCTTGAAAAATGGCTTAAGGAGGTAAATAAAGGGTCCAAGCATTGCCGGACTTGCTTGTCTGGCATCTGAGAGTAGCAGAGAAGGACTCTAGAGGCCTCTTCGTCGCAGCTGGGCAACAAGCGACGATGCAGCAACGTGAGAAAGGGCCGAGGCTGAACTCTTCCAAAGCAACTTCAGGGAAGGAATGCAGGAAGTCCAGGAGCTCTCCGGGGGATGAAGCATTGCTGAGAAATCCCACGGACACCCCTCCCCCCCACGACACTGCCTGGCCAGCAGGGCTGGTGGGGGGGGGCAGGCATCCTGGGCACCCAGCCCACGGGGGCTTCCTGGCTCTACCCCACCTGCCCCAGCTGTGGACGCAGGCTAGAGAATGCCTCTTCTTGGGCCCCGGTAGCGTCACCTCCAGGCTGTTGATGCGATGGGGGAAAGGCAAGATCTGGGGAAATGCCCCAAGGCGGCGGCGGCGGCTGCTGCTGCTGCTGCTGCTGCTGCTGCTGCTGCTG